AGTAATTCTCTTTTAATATCAGTGGGGTGTACAACAGGCCCATGACATTTCAGATCAACGGAGCTCAAAAAAAAAAAAAAAAAAAAAAAAAAGACTTTCAACTAAACAACAAGCATCAATATATCATTCATTTATAGCCCAAATGACAGTGAAAGCAAATGCAGAGGATACTAAGTAATTGCAAAGGAATACGGCATACTAGAAGGAATGAATTACTAGAAACAAAGCTGTCTTTCTACTTTTTTCTTCTCCCTTGCTAACTAAATACAGGCAGGCAGTTTTAAAATGCAAGGGGATAAGCCAATTTTGTTTGCTTCTCTGAGCCCTTGCTCACTGTTTGGATACTTGGGCCGGGGATGGCAGAACGTGAAGCAAAGGATCAGCATTTGGTCCTGTTATTGCCATATGTCTGAACACACAACCCACTTCCAAAACACGCAGACCTCATTACAGATACCACACTTGGGAACTGTGTTACGAATTATTTGGATCCCATGCACAAAAATCTACCCAGTAGGTTTTTTGCTCAGAATATTTTAGGCTGTCATATTTAAATCATTAATACTAAGGCAAAATGACAAATAAAAGCAGGAATTTAACAGTGAATTAACCTCCTCCTTCCCAAAAAAGTATCATTTTTTTTTCTGAAGAGAATTAAAATAAATTTAGTATCAAGCAAAATCAAAGAAAACTAGATAGTTTTAGCAACAGCTGTAATGTTGCTATTAAAAAAACAAAAAGAAAAAAAAAAAAGTCAAAAAAACCCTAACCCTACCTAACACAGCTCCTAACATTCACTTCATTTGAACAGGTAAGAAGAAAGCAAAAAAAACTCTTGCTTTTTTATTCAAGAAACCTTGTCTACCTTTCAAGCAGGTGGGCAAAGAGTGACAGCGTGAAGCCACAGAGATTCACTGTTTTGCTCTTACTGTAAACACTGCAACAAGAAACCAAATCTGGTTAGAGCAGAAGGAAAAAGGAGAAGCAGCTTCCAAGGAGCTCCGAGGTCCTTGACAGGAAGGTTGCAGATGCTGCTGCTTCTACCACGTTAGCTGCATTTGAAGCTGTGCTTCATGGCCTGGGCTAGCCATCAAAGAGAAAAGTCATTTTGTAAAATCAACTATCTACTTGCAGATATCTGCTAAAACCAGACACGTCCTGGCCATACCTTCGAAGGGAATACCACAGTGCAAAACAGTAGGAGGCAATAAGAGTGTGTAACGCAATAATTCTGCTAATCCCTAAACTGATATTTAACTTTCAGCATAGAAGTAGTCTTGAGTTTTTTCAGTCAGAATATTCCTGTAAGAGTTATTTCAGTCAGAATATTCCTGTAAGCACCATCATGAAGAAATGTCTGCAGAACTGAAACCTCCACTTCGTGATATATTCAAACAGCTTCAAAAGAAAAGTCATTTTTCCTTATCAGATATCAAAAGTTGTTATTTCCCCACACATGACATGGAAGAGTTAAAATTTTAACGAAATAATTGCAGTTAAGCGTTATATTCTTTAGATACTTTGCTATAATCTTATTTAATATGCTTTTGCACTGAAATATTATTTGCCTAGCTTAGGATGTTCCATTTAAGTGAACTTTTATTTTCTTCCTATTTTTCAGACATAATCCTTATACCTCTGTTTAATATAACATTTACAATATTCTTTTCTATGTCATTGTCTTTTTTTTAAAAGAAGGTTATCTCTTTCGGATTTGCTGTATACAAGGCTATCAATTACACTAGGGTGTTTCAGGTTTTATTTAGTTTTAACTGATGTAAAACAAAGTTCTAAACTCATCAGTCCCTATGAGAAAACTCAAGCACAGGTTGTCTAGAGGCAGATGTGCATTTGCCTCCTATCATGAATGCCAATTGTGGTCTTAATTTTAACAAAACCTACACAACTATCCAGTTAAACTCATCAGTAGATATTTATCCTTGGAAACAAACTGATTTCTCTGAGAGTTTTAATTAGTGTTACATTATATAGCTCTACACTTTTTTATTTTATATATATATATATGTATGTATGTATGTGTGTGTGCGTGTGTTTTCCTGAGGGCCTGATCATTTATAAGCAATCAACAGTAGTGTCAAATAAAATATCAGTACCTCCCTGCTTCATGTCTCCTATTCTGGCCATGGCCAAAATCTAATCTGTTACATGACTAATTTCTTAGCTTTTTTGGGAAAAAAAGTCACTACAGGAAAATAAATAAATAGATAAATAGATGGCTAGATAGATCCATAGTAAAATAAGGACTACAGGAAATATCATTAGTTTGATGGACAAAAATAATCCTGTCACAACAAATAGCAATCACAGTTCCTGTACATCAGAACCCTACACTCCTTCTTAGGCTTTGCAATTACACTGCCCATTTCAAGAATGGTCAATATGTGAAGAAAAAATGGAGAAAGCAGTAAAGTCTAGGAAAAAAAAAAAAAAAGCAATGAAAACCAGTGACTTTTCCCTTTTGCAAGTTTTATTTTGTTAACCACTAGGGATTTGGTGGGAAAAAAAACCTTACAGAACGAGTGTCATAAATAATTCACATTATTACTCATATATTGCCTATAAGAACCTTATATCTTTTACTTCAAGCTATCTCGATACCAACTTGTCCAGTAGTGAGAATATACCCTGTCCCACAAAGCATTTTCAGGCTTGAATGTGAATTAATGAAAAGAATAGTAGCTGGCTGCATATTTACACACAAAATTATAAAAGCTTTGCTGGTTAACAACAAATCTGATTTTTGTCTCATTTAACTAATGGCATATGCAATGCTCTGCAAGGCATATGGTACTAATTAAATATGGTACGAGTCCCCCGGATAGTCAATATAGCCATGAGGTATCCAAGGAATGTTTCCCTTCAGTGTACATTATCTATGTATTGATTTGACGGTCTGAATGCATAAAAGCCCTGGAACTAACAATGTTTAATGATGTGGGAACTGCACTTCTATTCTTGTCTATGAGAATGCTGCAGTTGCTGAGGAAAAAAATCCTGAGATACTTAATGAACAGGCAAATTGTGAACTAACAGGAACTGGCTTATTTTCATTCATACATTAGCCATTGATCTTGATATTTCTTTTTAACCTTTGTTTTGACATTTGCAGCACAGTTTTGTGACTCAATATGCCAGAGAGCAGTAAATTGAAGATATCACCCTATTTCTAACAGAAATTGTAAACAGCAAGATTCTATAAATTCCAAGGACACAAAAAAAAAAAAAAAGCTAAAGTCTAAAGTTGTATAATACTAATGACCCCTTTTAAAGAGTCTAACATACGTATTATATGAAAATACAATTTCAAATATTTGACCCCAGATGCAGTAAGGGGTTAATAATTAACTTTAATACAAGCCCACTTGTATTTAATGCTCTTTTCAACTCAAGCTCAAAGATTTCAGCTTCCTCTAACATACAGCGGGACAGTGTAAAATTAACTCAAGAAAATGAGGACTGTGTTTGCTCTGCTTCACAATTATCACTTTGGGTAACACAAACAGCAGCAGTGGATTCTCACAGTCATTACCTGCTTGCTTACAGCGTCCTAAGCCAAATACAGGATAAAGACAGTTGAATTTCCTGAGCTAATGAGAGAATGGCAAGTGACCTTCTGTCAACCAGAATATTGCCGTGCAAAAGAAGGACAGTCTCGCTACCACTGTATCTAGCATCGGTGGGTCATTTTGTACAAAGCCACTTCTCTACCAGTTGCGGAGCAGCAGTTTGCGTTCAGGTAGCACTGACGCTCTCTTGCAGGTCCAGCAAATTCCTGCTGGCAAAAACACAGCATCTTTTATAACACTTTGAGCTGTCCAGCTTACTCAAGCTACCATCACTTGCAAAATCTACCATGACTAACAGTCAGAAACGAGAACTGCTTCCTCCCCAGTGCACCAGCTGTCAAACACGCACTCTGCCTCTGATATGGAGACTTGGGAGAAATGGGGAAGCAAGGGAAGCAAGAAGGCAGTCACTCATTTTAAAGCAACCTGATATAATCTTCATCATTCTGCCACTTTCCTAGCCAAGGTACCATGAGAACAAAAATAGATCTGAAATCTTACTAATCATCTTCTGCAAAACAGTTTTTCACTAAACATACAAAAGTCACTAGGCAAATAAAACATGGTGACTTGAGAATGAATTCTGGATGGTAACGCTATTTTTACACTTACTGCACACTATGCTGGAAAGTGTAACCAGAATCTTACCTGACTACTGCACATACCCTGTCCTCAGAAGCTCAAATTTTACAGTTCCTTTCAAAATTCTTTCAAAAGCATGCAAAAATATTACTCTGGAAACTTAAGATTTGCTGTTCTTGACACGTAGCATCAATGAACTGAAAGGAGCAGTAACATTTAAGGTAGCTGAATCCCTATTATGTAAAACAAGCTGCATTTTCCAGCTCTACCCACAACAGTACTTCTATTTGTGGAACAAGATAAGACTTGCGCTCTCTGCCTTGCTGCTCTAAGATTTCAAATAGAATTTCACTTTAAAAACACATATGTCCTTAAAGATATTTTCAAATAGAAATTTCATGCATGATAAACAGCTCAGCATACACTAAGGAGTCTTTCTTTTCTCCTGTAGATTGCACCAGACATATCAAAAGCCTATGTATCCAAGATATATACAGTATACCAGATAACACTGAAAACCTAAATTCAGAAGAAGGAAAGAAAAATCCAGCAACAGAAAGTAAGGAAATCACCTCTGAGCTTAAAAATCATATTTTTACATAGCTGTAAAACATTATCTGACAGATAGTCTATTTGCAGGCTTGCTCCAATATAACAAATTAACACTGCTTTCCAACCCTGTCTTTCTGCATTTACATACCATGCATTATGCACAAAAAAAAAAAAAAAAAAGGAGCATACAAATAGAGATCCCTTCAGCCTAGCCTGTCACCGAAACCAGTGGAGAATTTCTCATTGATAAAAACAGAGAATGGAAGAAATCAGACCAACCTTCACAATGTACGTCACACCAGGTCCCAGGATCTTCTCACTCAAGTGCAGCCATCCTCGAGAGGGTTTATTGACAAAGCTGCTACTTTGATTCCAGTCTTCACCTCCCGGGTGCATTTCCTCTGACCGTGTTTTTTTCCCCATACTCATCTTGCTCACGTCCTGCTGAGAACACGAAGTGGCAGAGACAAGGTTACATATGTTGTCTGAAGCCCCTGCTGCCGAGCTAGAAGCACTCGAGCTTCCCTGCAACTTGGAGACTGCAAGCTCCTTTACTGCAGAGGAGAGGTTTCTGATACCCAAAAGGCTGCCTGTATTAGAGAGTTTCAGGTGGGACACTTTATGGATGAGGGTGCACAGGGTGGTGGGTCCATCTTCTTGGTCCTTGCGGAGAACCTCTGGCGAGACCAGGTATGGAGGTGCCGCTGAAGTCGTAGCAACTGCTGAGACCTTGCTGTTCATGGACAAATTGTGAATAAGATCATCAACTGATGTCACCGAATCATTCCTGAAGCGGTTATACTTGGTACGTTGAAGCATGCCCTTCTATCTGGTTTCCTGCATATGTTCTGGCAAATCTGATGCCAGCGCAGGAGATGCCTGTGCTAACATAGCAGGCGATTCATAACAACGCGGACAGACAACAAGATTTTGGGGTTAAAAAAAAAAAAAAGAAAAAAAAGCAAAGAGCATAAGGAAGAAGAAAAATACATATAAAGAAATTTCTTATGGTTCCACGTTAACGTTGGGTGAAGTAACAGTTTTCTATGACAGAGATTCCAGTCCTGCTTAGAGCTGCCAACTCGCTCACAGCAAAAGCATGACTCACACAAATGAGAAGGACCCTTTTCAACAAAAGGCTCAGTGAACACTGCAAATCACTTCCTGTAGCAAAAAAAAAAAAAAAAAAGCAAAAAAAAAAAAAATCCCATCCACCCACTTACAGCACACTAGCACCAATCAATTCTCAAATTTCCCTTTCCTATCTTCTCAAATAGATATTTCCTTCCAACCTTTAATTTTTTCCCTCCTCTTTTGGTACCAAAGGAAATTACCTCTAAAACTGATTTAACATCCTTTTAAAAAAACATCACACTCTTATTCTTCTGCTTAAATGTTTTTCCACCTCACATATTTGTGAATTGATGGAGACAATTAGATATCAGGTATCTGGATAATAAGAACACATAGGCATTCCTCCCCCCTCCACCTGCCCCCCCTCCCCTGCAGCAGAATAGATACCTTCAAGGTTTTCAGAACACCTCAATAAACACGTACTGTAAGCACAAACGAGGGAACCAAAGAATATACACGGTTTCTTCCACAAAAGCAACCTCAGAGACTTAACAAGTGCTTTTGTGCCCATGTTGTTTCTCACAGAAACTGTTATATCCAATTTTTGATAGAGAAACAAATTCTTCTCTCCAGTTACTCCACAGCAACCTTCTTCTTTTAATACAGGATTACATAAAGTACCTAATGTGTGAAGAAAAGTATTTTTCTGATGTCCGATCACAGGCTTAAAGATGCTTTTTTTTTCTTTTCACCACTGATATTCTCTCCCAAGAAAGCTGTGAAATGAATCTTCTATTCAGTGGAGTATTTGGTGTAATTCTGAAAGACTGAGAATACTAACAGAATATCAGAAAGTCCATGTAGCAGCAAACTGACAACCTGCAGGGAGGAAAAAAAAAAAAAACCAAGTCTTATTAAGCAAAAATGTCAGCCACAAACTTGATCTGAGGAGCAGCAGAACCTGAACACACTGGACAATTCCCTTCTCTTACATCTGCTTGGAAAAAACACAGGATGTACACAGCACTGTGGAAGACACTGCCCATCACAAACCATATGGCCTTTATCCATTAATTGCAAAAAATATCTTTGGGGGTGCAGAACAACGCACTGCATTGCAAAGAAATTCAGAGCAGAGAGGCTACAAAGTGGAAAGTTGTTAAAAAAAAAAAAAAAAAAAAAAAAAAGGTTACTAACTGCAGCACGTTTTAAAGAAAAAAAAAATCCTGCAGTATAACACCCCCGCGCCCGGCACCCGTGCACGAAAGCACCTAAACGCAGGTATTTAACGGTGCCGGGTGCAGGGCGCACGCAGCGCCGCTGCCCCCGAAGGCAGCGTCCCGGGAGCGCGCGGCGGCTGCGCTCCGCGGAGGCGCCCTCGGCCGCCGCGCGGGGATGCACCCGCAGCACCCCCCCCAACGCTGCCCGCACGGCGGGGACGCTCAAAACACCCGTTCCCGGGTATATTTTGCACGAGCCGCGCGGCGCGGGGAAGCCCCGCGGCTCCCCCCGCCCCGCGCTGCCGCCGCCGCCGCTGCGGCGTGTGAATGGAGGCGCCTCAATGGAGGCCGCCGCGATTCTGTGAATGAACGTCGCGCGGGCGCCGCCACGCATGCGCGCCGCGCAGCCAATCGCAGCGCGCGGCGGTGACTCATTCAGCAAAACGCCGCGCGGCGCCGCGGAGCTGCTCCCTGCCCGCCTTCCCGCCGCGGCCGCGTTACGTCCAGGAGGGCAACGGGAAGGGGAACGAGCTGCGGGGGGATGCGGGCTTGGATGCTCGGCCAGCGCCCATCGGCAGCGACACGGGCTTTGCAGGCCGGCCCACAGGAAAATACATATATATAAATATATATATATAAAAATATATAATTTCAAATACTGTTAGCACAGTGGGTATTTAAGAACAGTATGATCGGCACTACACTGAAAAGGATACAAGGGGAAAACTTTATGGTTAAAGCTTCACAAAGCACCAGCAGAAGGGTTCATTTCCCACACTCTTTTTTCCTGCCCCTGGAAATGCTGCTGAACATGGCTGATATTTTCAGCTCTTCTGAAAATCCCATGGTAGCTGTGAGAGGGGAAAAAAAAAAAAAACAGAGCAGTAGCTGCAGTTTTCCTAGAGGCTTGAAATCTGCTGCTTGTTTCAGCGGCTGATTAGAAACTATTTTCCTTTGCACACCTGGCCCTAAGCAGAGAGAAGTGGTCCTCTGAAAATCTTTTATCACTCTTGGGCCTGGAAAAGGTAAAAATATTGCCTATAGGCAAGAGGTCCAAATTCAACTTGAGAAAATTAGAATCACAATTAAGAGGCCTTGTAATAGGCATAATTTGCAATTAAAAATAGGATATAGTTGCTTTCTCTCTAGTGCCAGAGTATTCAAAGTTCTCTCTTGGTATTTCTAGTAACATATTTCTAATAATTTCCAATGCAGTCTGGTAGACTGCATGCATGCTGTGCTGTGCTGTGCTGTGCTGTGCTGTGCTATGCTATGCTATACCAGTCCCTTAAACTACTGAGGTCATTCTGCCCTCATCCTGCCAGGTGTCTCTGCATCCATAAGCTGAGCTGCACTTCTGCAATTTCACCAGATCAGCGAGGAAAGTGTATCCAAGCTAAAAACGTGTGTGCAGGGAGGGTTGTTGTTTGTTTTAAAAAAACACTTTTTGTAGGGATATGGGTCCAAGGCATTGCCACCATTAGGAATCAATGGCCATGGAACAACATGTCTGTTGTTAACTGGGTAATGAAGCAGTGGGTAGAAATTCAATGTTGATAAAAGCAAAATAATAGATAAGCATTGCAGTTTTTCTGAGTGGTATTAATAGCTTTGCACCTTTGACTCTTCCCCTTTTATTTTTTTTTGAACTTTCCTCCACTGTTGTCTTATGGGTTCTCCTTTCTCTTGACTCTTTTAGTGTCCTCTGGGGCAGCCCTTCCTCTTTTCCTTATGAGTAGATCCCTTCTGGGTCTCGACCACCTCTGAAGCCTGTATCCCTGAAGAAAGGAAGTTTTGTTATCTCAAAGGGAAGCAGAAGACAGGTATGGAGGATGCAATAGTGCAGAAAGCAAAAGGGAAAAAATAAAATATTTTTTCCACTGCTAGGATAGGATTTTAAAAGATTTTAAGCATTTAGTCACACAAGGGTAGGAGGCGCTGTCAGTGCAGAAGCTAAACTGGCTGCATTTCATGATCACCATGAAAAGGAGCCATGGCCACTACAACCAAAACGTATCATGATTTTCAGTAAGAAACTCCCCTGAACATGGAAGTGATGGTTTCAAAACTGGAGAATAATTCTACTTAAAAAGTACGTGGTAAATACGTACTTCACATAACTAAGTGCTAGAAACTGCTAAAATGTGCTGCAAGGCTGGTCCTGAACCAAACTAAACTTTAAAAAAAAAAAAAAAAAAAGAGAGAGAGACAAGGAATAATGCTCTGTTTTGGCAAAAGGTCTCACAGAATTCTCAGGGTCAAAATGTTCAATCCATTACACAAAAAGGCAACATTTTAATAGCACAAAGACCTTCAGTATCCAGTTTGGATATATATTTACTTGATCAGGTAATAGAGAAAGTAAAGTACCAACCCTCTTTGCACGGGCCAGATATTTACTGGAAATATTTTATGCATCTATTAATCAGGCTCACTCCAGCTTTATTTATGTGACGTCTGCAGCTGATGTGGTTACAGCAAGCAGAAAAAACACTGCAACAGCCAAGCACCATGACATAATCTTCTTGAGAAGGCATGTAGCTATTTCAAGGAAAGACCAATTTTGGAATCATTTTGATGTAGCTAACAGTCCTTGCACATGTTTGAGTATGCTCACTTCCTCATGGGGTGCTGCGCACAGTGTTCAGCTTCTTGCTCCCCTGATTTCAGGGGGGACTCACACAAAACATTTTCAGCAAAAACTGCTTCAAAACATTTTGCAGGAAAAAAGCATCACATCACTTCGATTTTTTCCCCTACTGTTTGAGTCAGACCTTAGGTTCTGTAAAGCTAATATGACATGTTTGACCTATGGAAAAAAAAAAAAAAAAAGACCGTAGCTCTTCCTTTACAAAAATAAAATATGTGGGTTTTTTTTTCCAAAAAGTGGCTTTTACATCATTTTAACAAGACGCATCTATTTTTGTGAAAATTGCTGCAAATTTCCCTCATCTGCCCGTCGCTCTCTCCCCATCTCTCACGCGATCACAGTTTTGCAGTTTCCCTGGCAACCCCATTGCTAAGGGTGGGCCCTGCGCCTACGTGGGCGCCGTCTCTGCAGCTCTGCAAGTTATTCCCCTGGAAAACCGCACCGGCGGAAGCACTGCCGCTTCCAAGCAGGGATTAGCAATCATCAGCAACCAGCTTTCAAAGCTCTGCTGGTGAAAATGCCAAAGGCACATATGCGTTTTGGTAGAGATGCTCGTGTTTTAAGCCAGAAGCTGACCATGCGGAATAGCACTTGGAAAATGCTGAAATTATTTTGTCCAAGGACATTTTCATCCTGTGAAATATGACATGAAAAATCCAGAAGAAAATGAAACCCGTAACTCCTGGTACTCCATTAGTTACTCCTGTGGGCCTATTGCTAAAAGTCAACATTATATAAAAGTTCAGAGTCCAGATGGATCTGAGATAATACCCAAAACAGAGCATGACATTAAGCTTTTGCCAGGCAGGATCAGACATGGGTGAGCATTACAATCCACAAACCAGCCCTAAATCAGCTCTGTAGCATGGGACCTACTCTGACATAAGCCGCAGTTTTTACAATAAATTCTCCCTTTCTCTACACTAGCCCCTGCAGTGAGAGAGAAAAGCAGCAGCAATGTAGAAGTGCCATCATTTTTAAGGACAGCTCCCAGCTCTGCCATGGCTGCTCCCACCTGCCCTAGTCTTTCGCAGGTGCTCTTGCTCATCCTCATCCTCATCCTCCCTGGATCACTCCAACTGCAAGGCATTTTCTCTCTTCCTGACAACGCGTTTAAATGCTATACCCCTTCTACTACTGATTCAAAAAATACTGCTTTCCTTAATGCTAGCTGAGCTCATCTCTGAGGGTGTCTTGCTCGCCTGTTGGTTTGTTTTCACTCTTCTTTCTCTTGTCAGGGCCCCTTGAGTTGCTGCACGGGCAGCTGACGATGCATCTAACTTGAGTGCCTGCCATGAAGTGACATCCTGAGACCTGTGTGACTCCCCTAACCTAAGAACAGTGAGGACGGGAGGTGCTTGTGTCAGGCCTGTGTTCCTCTTGAGCGACTGCAGGAAAACGGCTCATGCCGGCACGGACTTGAGGGGCCACTTGTCCTCCACAGCAGGAGCCACGGTCCAGCTGAGGCTTCGCACCAGGCCAGGCTTCTGCTCCCCCCAGGGTATTTCCCAGTCTTGTTTTCTTCCACTTCCACAAACTACTGCCCAAGTGGCAAACTGCACTATCCCAGCTCCAGAGAAACAGACCCATCCTCTTCTCTCTGGCCTCGTGGTGCACTCATCCTGATGGAAGTGGCAGTTCTCTTCCCTTTGTGTGCATTCTGTATGTGTTAATGTCCAAGTTTCTCTGCCTGCTGTAGTTGTAGGAGATGGGACAGGTGAGTAAGGATGTGTCTCATGGATGAGGACATGAAAGCTCTCATTTATCCACTATGAAACTACCAGGAGCCATACAGCAAGACAACAATTAAAACGCCGCTTTATAAGATTTGTTGGTGCTAATAACCAAATCTGTCTCTGAAATGGACACAAATGAGAAATCCAGATCTATGTTTGATCTGTTCAAGGCAGAATCTTTAATTTAAAAAAAAAATGAAGGTGAGGAAGGGAACAGCAACAGCAACCCAGTTCACTGACAAATGATGCAAGGATTCTGCCTATTGTTGAGGAACCAGTCAATTATTTGGTAGTCAGGGCTACATCTTTTTGTTTTTAATTCATGAGATGTATTTAATAATTCAGTTGTTCTCTTTCCTACTTTGTAATAAGGTATCTGTGTTTGATCTATTTTCATTTGTTCTCTCTTTCTTCTGTTTATAGCTTGTTTTCCTATAAACAGTTTGAAAGTTGCTTTCAAAAAGCCTGTTTGTGAAGTTCTATTGCCACGAGTTTCCAGATGATTTCACTGCAGATTTCATAACCCAACTGAAAGTTTGGGAATTTTAATTTTCTGGGTA